AATTACTAAAGAAAGGGGAAAATTTAAATAATAATTTTCCATTGCCAACATTTCCTATTTGCTACAAATTTCTTTCCCTGATACTCCTATGATACTTTTTTCAGATCTCAGAAATGTATCTCTTAAAACACACACACACACACACACACACACACACACACGCACGTGCACGCACACACACACACAATGAGAAAGGATCTATGCCTGTGTTCAATATAAAAAGGGGTTTTAATATAGTGCTTACAATCTGGCAGGGAAGTCAACATTATCAGACACCTCCACAAAGAGACATACAATTATAACGAGTTATAGCTACACTATGTTAAGAGAGGATAATAGGGTCAGATATAGCAAGGAAGGCTTCTGTCAGGAGGTGACTAGCTTGTTGAGATACTAGGCAAAAAAATAGGTGACAGCAATGATCTCCTTAGGGAAAAACAAACAGATGCAAAGACCTAAGTGGGAGGTCACATGACAGGGAAGAACCTAAGGACTTCTGGTTGTTCCTGGAATCCAGGAAGGGAAGGGAGCATTGTGGGATAAGCTGGGTGCATTTAGAAAAGTGCTAAACCATAAAAGCATGTAAGTCATGATAAGGAACTTTGTCTATAGAGAGATATGACGTCTCAGTCTTGTGTCTCTAAATCTCTCTTTGGCTGCTTATGGAAAATAGGCAGAATGGGTGCCTCTGTGTCTATAATAATTTAGGAGCCTCTGGAGTAGCCCAGGGGCGACATTATATTATTTGGGACTGGGAAATGGTGGTCCCAAATGGAAAAAAGTGGTTGAATTTCAGATTTTTTTTGTAGGTAAATATGACCAGATTAAGTGACAGAATTTGTGGAATGAGGGAGAGAGGTGACTAGATGATGCCTATTTTTTTTATCCGGTAAATTGTGAAGTCATATACTGAGCTCAGAAATGTCTAAAGAGTATATTTGGAGGGAGAATCAAGTGCTTAGTTTGCAACATGTTAAATTTAAGGCACTTGGAAATTGGATGTATCAAATGTATCCAATTTTGGAAACTGGACCCAAAATGCATACATTCATGATAGTCATTATAAACTTTGCTTTCTTTAAGAATTTTGCACTCTTCTTTTTAAAATGAGCACTGCATAGTTTAACATGTTTCCTCTTTGTTCTACCTTTTGGAATTGGGATTATTAAACCTAATTCATGTAACCACCTTAGTATTCATGGTTAGCGTATTATGGTAACACTAATTTCTAACTGTGTTTTTGTGCCTCAAGTGTCTGGTATGATTTCAAGGATATAAATATTTACCTAAAGATATTAAACATAAAAAATCAATCTTGTTGAGAGCATATACAATTTTTAAAGTATATCAAATAGATAGTATAAGAATAAAAAAATAATGTTTATTAAAAACTATTAGAAAATATCAAATAATGTTTCCAATTATTATGATAAGTCAACTAGTGTTATCAGAGTTGATATTCACAAGTCTTAAACATCAGGAAATTTGTTTCAGCAAAATAAAATTATTTTAAATATTACCTATGAAATGTTACTAAGCAAACCTTAATATATAGAAGGCATATTAGTTTTATATAGTAACCATCCTTGCTATTATGTGTATAGTAAATTATCTTTAGATATATATGGATCTATTTATACAGCCATACACATCTCCTGTTCAAACATTATTGTTTATTGTTTAAATTCATCAGTGCTTTAGTTAAACCAGAAACAATATCAGAAACAGACAAAAGTACTATTTTACTGACCATGACTAATTGAAAATGCCACAGTGAGAAACATAACCATCATAACAACCACCACCTCTTCAACTGTCCTGCACTAATAACTAATGGATATCCCATTGCCTCATTATTGTACTACTTCTCCATTCATTATTTCCTCCAAGAAAGTTCCCAGTATTCCATTTATCTTTTAAAGGGATTTAATGGATGTGCTATGAATTTTCAATGAGCTATTTGAAATTTGGGGAACCTAATTAGGAATGTATTTACTTTCTCTTTTTTTCAGGGTGATTAATTCCATTAAAGAATTTCAGCCTAATGTTACTCCAAAGAAAAAATAGGAAGGAAAAAGAAGATTCTACTTCTACGGACTAATGGACTGCTAATTAAAAAAATTGAATTAAGCATTAACTCAGAAGAGACATTTTCAATATATAAATTATTTCTGTTTAGACTTCTATTGCCAGGTTAATTAAGTAAATCCTTTGGCCTTATTGCCATTAGTAAATGAAAATGTATTTGAATTAACTAAGTCTTATGATTTACACAAGGGAATCTATATCAGTAAATATATTTCCTTTGCTAAGAGCTTTCATGACATCAGATGTTTTATTTTTAAAAAGTCATGGAAAACAAAAATTCATTAATTATTTAATTGTTGGCCAGGTAAAAATCTCTGGAGTTTCTTATGTGGTTGCTTTTAAGAAACAAACCCTATACATTTCCATGTCTTCCAATGTGTGAATTCAACCAGTCTTAGACAGGGTCCTCCATTTCTTTAAGGAAAGTAAAAGATGAAAAATCTAGAATATCTTCCTCAAGTCTCTTTATTTAATAAAAAAAACGCAAGGACCTAAGCAACAAAAGCAATTCTTAAGATAACTGAGTAAATCATGTACCAATGGAGTACAAGGTAATAAAATATACACAGAAGAAACCTACGCTAAAACAATGACTTCTTATCTGTCTTCCACATACTTAGACTCATCATTTTATGCTACACTTATAGCTATAATAAATTAATATAACCTAATATATCCTTTTTGTTTACCTCTTAAAAGTGGTCCTTCTACATTATTTTGAGCACACTAGCAAAACGTACTGGCTGCCTGCTTTAAGACTTACGTAATCCATAGCACAGTGATTCAGAAATAAATTCTTAAAGAACAATCTCTATGTTCTCTGAAGGGCATAGCCATGTCTATTGCTGGCATACTGAGCTGTAATATGCTGGAAAGTAAACGAAGGTTATGAAGTGTCTTCTACCCTTCCTCTCAAGGAAATTTCAATTGCTAAGCACCTAATTACCAAAAGACAATATCAGTTCTAACAAACCTTGCTCTTTATAAAAATTCATCCACAGCATTTTCTGTGTGGTGACATTTTGATAAAAATATATTCCTAAGAGCAGCAAGAGATGCCTATATCAAATAGTGGGGAGAAGGAGGGATAAAAAGAAATATGTCAAATTTAAACTAAGTTAACTATAAAAATGGCAAAACAATAGAATCATAGGTATGAACCAGGAAAGTAAGGAATTTTCTAGAGAAATTGTCTTGACTTTTCAAATCCTATGAACATAGTCATGTAATTAATGCATTTATCTGATTTATCCAGGAATTAGAAAGCCCAAAAATATATATGTAGCTTAGAATTTGTCTACTGATTTCAATTCATTTTCCTATATGTGATTTCCCTTTTCTTCAGTTTTTTTCAGTATTAATTTTTATAAGCAGCCACAAAGTCTCCTTCAATGACACAAAAGGAATATGTCAGTCAATAATCCAACCAATCAGGGAAAGTTTTATTTCTAGTTCCACCCCCATCTCCATATAGCACAAGTGATCAAAGTCATAGAATAAATGCTTGATTTTTTTTCATACTCACCTATGGATATGTTTATTGATTTTAGAGATAGGAAGAGAGAGAGAGAAACATCAATGTGAGAGAGAAGCATCAACTGGTTGCCTCTTGTATGCACCCCGATAGGGGATGGAATCTGCAACTAAGGTATGTGCCCTGACTGGGAATCAGACTTACAACCTTTCGGTGTATAGGATGAAACTGCAACTGAGCCAGACTGGCCAGGTGAGTGCTTGATTTTTATGAATCAAGAAGCCAGTGATTTTATGTCATCTTTACAAATCATTAGTCAAGGTACTTTGATAAACTACTTGTTCATTCTGCATCTGTTTACTCACATGCAAACGTTAGTATTTCAATCTTTCCCCTGTCTATTCCTCAAAGCTGCAAATATAAATTATGGCAATGCATTGTGAAACAATCCTAAAAAATAAAAAAAAATTCCATAAAGATATAGGTCATAAACATAAAAAATTGTATATTTTTATCTCCAGAAATATGACCAAAAATAACAATTAGTGAATAACGTTGGTTTTAATTTGTACATTAATTTATGAGGTTTTTAGTAAACCTCCCCTGTGTGTTTTTCTGGGGGAAGATATTGCCTGTTTTTTATTGTGGACACAAAACATTTAAGATACACTCTACACTTTCTAATTATTTTTACATTGCAATATGACATGAGTTGGATAGAGAATGTTTAGATACAATAGGATGCTAAAATGTAGAAGGAGAATTCATTACTAAAAATTCCATTTTTTGACTCTATAGTAACACAAGGCATAGGATACATATGTGACTAGTCTTAGTCATTATCTGATGTTCAATTAGCAAAATGTACAGAATTGCTTTTCAAGTCAGCAACTGTTCCCTCTAAGGATTGTTTCCCAGCATAGGCAATATATGCTCAAACACTTAGCAGAGTTTCTAGGACATAGCTGATGTTGAGTAAAAATTAGCTTGCTTCTTCTATTTCTGATGGTAAAATAAGTAAGGCTATCAGGTTTGTTTGTTTGTTTTATACTAGCAAATCCACCTTTTTCCTGCCAATAATTTTCCTAGAAATAAATAACACTATGTAAGTACTTGGTATGTACTTTTTCATCAAAAACCCAATAGATCTATAGGTTATCATTTATCATTAAGAAATATGGGGTGTCCCAAAAATGTATACACACACTTTGAATAACTATAAAGGCAGTGTTTATTAAAATACATTTCATTTTCAAAATTGAGCTGTCAGCTGTGAAAGTGTATACACAATTTTTGGGACACCCTGTATAAATTTAGCTTTGAATCACACTTAGCAATGAATTATTTTCAACCACTGAGGTCAGCAAAAATTAGGACATTCTTTTTAACTGGAAGGAGTTCTCATTGGCAACGATCAAACTGAAGGCAATTAACTTACTTCTGGAGCCTGAAGAGTTCCTCACTGCTGTGAAGGAGTCGGCACTCTGCCTGGCTGCTGCAGAAGACGGACAGGGTGAGAGCATCTCCAAAACTGAATCTGAGGGTGGTGTCAGAGGTAAGGGTGCTCGCTACCGCATGGCTTCCCGACACCTGGCTGAATGGTTACCGGGACTCTTCAAAGGAGACAAGCACAAAAAAGGTGTATCAAAATGTGTTTAGGAAGTATCTTTGATAAATATAGTCACTGTTAACTGTGTGATCAACCTCAAACTATATCAGGAATATCACTAAATGGAATTTAAATAGATTTGCATAATGAGGCTTTCCAGAGGAATGTGCAATATGCTCTGATTTCAATAGATATGTTGCATTCTGTTTTTCATTTTGGAAGGGGCCTTCTTATCTCATAATTGAGAATAGCTTAAACAATCAACAGATATCTAGTTCAATTTTATTGATAGCATTTCCATTAATTCAACTTGCAAGCGAATGTTAAAATATGTCCTTAGTCAACAAATGTATAATCATCACCTAATGTGCACCAGATACATGACCCTGGGGATATATCACCGGAATGAAGCTCTTCAATCCTGCCCTCATGAAGCTAATAGTCTTATGTTGCATTGCCTGTATTTCTTCAATAGAGAAATTATTTCAACACACAAGTCTATGAAGGAAATACACAGGTATGCCACTTATATTTTAAACTTCTGTCAGAAGATTGTTGGTTTCTATCTATGTCTGAGGGTTCTATGTCAGTCTAAATAAAAATAGACCTAGCTTTTTAAGACACAATATTTAATCCCCCCATGATTCTTATAACAGAACCAACTAATACTCAACCACTATCATTCTTAATGCAGAAATGAGCTGAATTTATAAAAATGTTCTTGAAATGAATAAAAAAATTGTAATTTTACTAGGCTATGACTTAGTTCATCTACAGAAGCAAAAGTGAGGAATAATACAATTCCAAAGTGTAACAATAAAAAAAAATAAAACGTGTATAAGATGATACAAATATAACTCAGGTTAAATTTATTGTTCCTGCTCTTTTCATTTTTAAATATGTCTGAATGAACTTACAGAGCCAAAATTTAACTTTCTAGACTTTTATTATAAAGTGATTTAACCAAGGTCAATATACATGTATCTATGAGTGAATATAGATATAATAAATTCCTAGAAGTAAAATGCTTAGAACAAGAAGCCTCACTGTTTTTGAAACTCTGATTATGTCTTCCTCTTTGCAGTGAAGAGGTAGTATAAATCAAGAGTAAATTTGAATTTATAATGATGCTTTATATTATTGCATTATGATAGCAAAACATAAATATTTCCTATAATGATCTTAACAACAACAAAAAAGGATTGATGACCAATAGTGTTTACATGTATTCATTTTGGCTTGAAGAGTTTAGTAACTATTATAATCCTATCTAAATTCTAATTTCCCAGCGAAAGTTCTTTTTATGTATGGTTGCATTATTTATAAATGATAAAATTTCCTTTTTATTATAATACTTTTATTAAGCACTTAATGTGTGCCAAATATGAAAATATGTATTATCGAAGGCAATCCTCTCAATAATAAAATGAGATAAGTTACATTTACCTATATACTGGTATAAGAGGCAGGAGTAGAAATATTTCAACTAACCTTTGGCAAGGTAATATAGCTAGTAGTTGACAAAGCTGGGGTTTTCACCTAGGTCTATCCGACTACATATCAATGCTCTTATATCTTATGATGTAAGATTTCAGAAAAACATAAATTCTACAGTAAAGAAACTTAATAAGGTGCTTTTTTTTTTACCAGTGCAATGCCAAAAACAGTTAGATTGGAATTTGAACAATACAATTTTTCCAGTGTTTCCTTTTCTTCTTGATAGTATGCTGAAATAAAACATCTCATAAGAAATTCTGATCGATTTCTTAATTCCAGGTTGATATGTTGGCCTTCTTCCACAGTCTTAGAAAATCTGGCAACAGTTCATTTGTATGTACATGTATTCCCAAGAAATATGAATCTCCCTCTAATGATTATCTTGAAAGACAATACTAAACTCTGAAAGAACTAAGGAAACTGGCAAAGCTCTGGAAGTTATTACAGAATATCTTTCATAAAACTGGAACTCATGACCCCTTCCAGTCCCTAAAGAAATTTCTTCCCCTATGTCTTTGCTAAGTGTTCATCAGTTGTCTAAACATATACAGATGCTCTTCTACTTTCAAGGGGTTATGTCCCCAAAAACACATAATTTAAGTTGAAAATACATTTCAACTAACCTACCAAACATCATAGCTTAACGTAGCCTACCTTAAATGTATTCAGAACACTTCCATTAGCCTATAATTAGGCAAAATCATCTAAATAATGAAAACACAGTAGAGTATTGGTTGTTTACTCTCATGATTGCCTGGCTGGCTGGAAGCTGTGGCTCATTACCAATGCCCAGCAACATGGGAGAGTATTATACCACATATCACTAGCCCAGGAAAAGATCAACATTCAAAATTTGAAGCACAGTTTCTACTGAATGGCATTGCTTTCACACATCACACAGTCAAAAAATTTAAGTTGGATATCGTAAGTCAGGGAATGTCTGGTCTGTTCTTTGATCCCAATTTCACTATCAGCAAAGGCAGGATGTTAACCTCTTATAAACCTTGGTAGAATCATAGCAATAATCATATCACTCAGTTTCTCTTTTAAAATAAAAAAAAACAGAATAATATTACAAAAAGCTGTAATTATTTCAAGGCATAATATCTGAAGGTACTAAGCATGGTGCTTTATTCTTTGTAGACATGCAATCATTTTGTTTCCCTCAGGAAGCTTTTCCTAAGGTTGCCCTGAGTTTTAACCCATTGAACACAACGGAAACCCTTGAAATATTCAAAGATAATAGTAATGTGATCTTAAATATTTCCATCAATTTAAAAATCCATAGAGATTGAACAATTATGAATCCACCAAATGGTATCATTACCAATCTTTTTTCATCTTATTTCTAATGGTACAAAATAAATAACATGAAGAAGGTGATTTACAGTAGTCTTTAATTATATTTACCTTGTGTAAACATGTAATCATACAGATGTTTGATTCCATGATGCAAAAAAGCCAGCTGTTTCACTGCAACTCATTTACTTAATAGTCATCCTATATAATAAAAGTCTAATATGCTAAGTGTCAGACTGTTCATTCGACCATTGGACCAGTCGCTATGATTTGCACTGACCACCAGGGGCAAACACTCCGACAGTAGGTTAACTTGCTGCTGGGGCCCCACTGGACGTGCTGTGGAGGCAGCCAATTGATGTTTCCCTTTCTCATAGATGTTTCTCTCTCTCTCCCTCTCACTACCTCGCTCTTTAAAAATTAATAAAACATGTTTGCTTTTGTTTGTTTAAAAGAGGAATAACTTAAAAACATTTAGGGAAGAAATATAGAATAAAATTGAAAATAATTTCACATTGAGTTTTTAAATTCCATAAATATTCAGAGAGATTCATATGAATGAATATGAAAATGCATTTGTGTTGCTGAATAAAATGTAATATTATATACTCAAATACAGAAAAATGTTTACAAATTATTATATACATCCAGAATCCTATGATAAATTAATGCACCACTAGAGCATTCATTGCTTAATGTAAATGTCACGGTGTAAATGAAAACAACTAATCATTCTTTCCTCTAATAGCAAGAGTTCAGCAGTCAAATAAAACATAACTCTTGGTGACCTGAAAATTTTTATTACTGCCTTTGTAATTTCCCATTCAACAACTCAAGAAAATAACTTTAAATGATGGGTATATTTCAATAAGAAACAACCCACAGTGAAGGGCTTTTCTGAGAGGGGCAGAGGATGAGTAGAGGTGGGGTTGACTTTGAAATGTTATTAAGGATCTAACTTATTCACTAAATTGTATAATGATAATTTAAAATAATATTTTTCATTGTGACAAAACAGATACTAGTTAGGAACTGATCTAGTAAAGACACAAAATGCACTATCATAGTTTAACTTTAATTACAAAAAAAGAAATCCTAATTACTAAATTTGGTTGCAAAAATCTAATACAAAAAATAAATAAGAGAAATGTAAAACAAGGCCTACCTAAAGATTATAGAGCGAATGAAGTATTTTTCTTTGCATAACTAACATTTTCTTAAGTGACATAATTAAAAGATTATAAATAGTAATAAAAATGTTAATATATAAATCATTCACTATATAAATTTACTCTGTTAAAAATTTGCTTGAAATGTCCTTGAATTTCTAAATTCATTTTTCTTCCGAGATACAAATTTGATTGACATATCTTTTTATTTAAGTGTTTTTGCTACCAAGTTTATTTGCAGGTGAATAGTACAACATTTACAGAACATATTTTGTACAATCAAGTCTGCACTGCCCTCACACATTGAGGGACAAAGGAAGACTTTGTCCTTCCAACAGCTATAAACAGCCCCGGATAATGAGTTTATAGAAAACACTTTCTCTTCCTTCAGCAAAAGAAATTATTTATGAAGCTGTACCGCCAGCAGTGGGGAGCAAGAGGAAAAATTACCTCAAGGAAAGCAACAGCTCTTTTGCTGGTGGGATCCGTCACTTTACAGACATGAAATATTCATATCAGGGATCTTATATTTCAAGAGGAGTGGGTCACATATCATAGCTACAGCAGTAAGCATTTATTTATTACCAACAGGGAATGAGAAGACTCTTCAGACACAAGATCTTCCCCAGCCTTTTAGAGATCAGGGTCAGCATGACTCTCCCTCTAATTCAGTTTCATATTTATATCCATTACCTGCCTCTGAATGCCCTTCTTGATGCTCCACTCCAACCTGTGAAAGCTGCCTGAGGACTGTCCTGACATTAAGTCACATCCCTAAGGACGCACCTTCCATGTGAGGGCTGGCCTCTTGGTATTTATGAACCTAGGGTTTTAGAGAAACAAACTAAGGAAACCAGCTCTTCTCTTGAGCCCAGCTACTCCGTTCCCCCAGCTCGGAGCCAAAATCCCAGTGCAAGGAGTAGGTCTGATAAATAATGAATCAGCATCTTGCTCAATTGGTGGCATTTAAAATTCTTTTCAGGTGAAAAATTACCACAATTTTGTGCTCAGGGCAGATCTCAAAGGGAGACTTGAAGCA